ACACACACACACACACACACACACACACACACACACACACACACACAGGCTTACTTTAATTAGGGTACACTGAGGTCTTGAGCAGAATTCTGAGAGGTGGGAACTAAAATATTCAGAGTGTGCAAGATGGCATGGAGCTTTTAGCCGACGCCCTCGACTCTAAATATTTCATCACGACCTCTTTTTGAATTTGTCCTGGAAAAGCCTATGTATGTCTAATTAGTCCCAACTGTCCCAACTTTTCACATTAACAATGTTAAATATACTCTATTGAAATATTAGCTGCCTTTAAACTGTGTGTGTTGGGATCTGAAGGGTCACGCTAAACAGAGCTGAAGAGCTTGATGACAAACCCAAGTGTCATTTGATTCATAACTATTGCATTCCTCGACCAAAGAACTTCTTAGTTGACTTACACCATGTTGTTGCTTAATCAATTAGTTGATATTTAAATCAACAGATCTGTAGAAATGAGTTCCTCCACTAAACAAAAGCACCACTCTAAATCTTGTGTTTACCAGAGATAAGCTCACACGGTTCTTAGAAATAAGTCATTCAGCATGAAAAAGCATCAGAAGAACTAATGGACTGAAGACATCTTTGTCGACTGACTGACTAAGAGGGGGCAGCCTCAGCCATAGTCCGTGGTGAGCTAGGACTCCGGGATATCGTCCAGTCGTGGTGACTCCAGATCACTTAGCTAAGTGTCTGAAGGAGCTTTGAAAATAACTCAACATTTAAGCTTTCTGCAATTAAGTTAAAGGCATGTGAAAAAACATTTCTAAAAGAGTTTGGGCTTGTTATTGAAACATTTAAAAATGGTCTCCTGTATTCAAACAATGACAAAGTCTGTGTATCGGTGCTGGAGCATCATGTTCCCTTTTCTTTAATATCACAATCCAAATCCTATCGTTAACGATAATTACCCGTATGGAGTGCGGAGCAGAGTCCTGACTGGGTGTCAGATCCGTGGACAACCAGACGGCAGACTGCTTTGTAATTAATGATTTAGAAAGCCACTCGTAACTGATTACCGGGGCTCAGCGGGCGGACATGCCGCTCCACCAGACACATCTATATGCAGAGTAGCGCGCAGGGTCTCCACATTATTCTCATCATATCTCAGTTCTGATAGTACCTTAGTTCAAATTGCCTTCATATCGGCAACGGAGAACCCAATCATCAATCATCACTCCTTTCATCGGAGCAGCTATACTCTCACCTGGGAGCTGCCGACTACAAACACTCTACTACTCGCTGCAACTGGTGCCACTGGGAGCTACGAGCCCCCACAGAGACCTACAGTGAGGGTTTACAGTAGACCAGCAGCTCTGTGAGCCTTCTTTCAGCTCAATACTTGATGGATTGATTTCAGTGCCAAACCCTCATGATTTGACAAGACACCGACAATAACGTTGCACTGGACAAACATTTCATAACATTATAAAAATGACAAGATATTTTACCACTCGGTCGTAAACATTCTCTCCCAAGCCTGGCAAATAAAATCAGCCTTAAAAACGGTCTCCTTTCTGAAGCAAAACGCAAGTTTTTCATCGTCGTCGAGGCAAAAACAACTCAACATAAATGGAGGTCATTTTACTTTGAAGTAACTCCTCTATGTCCTCGTATACAGGACAGTAAAACAAGACGTACACCTCATTCTCACCTGGCTCACAGAACAAGCCTGTGCATCCTCTGGAGTGGTCTCCAGGGCTAATGAGTGGAGCTGTGCACGTTTTGTTTGAAACATATTTCACATAAAGTTTTACACGGTAGATATTCTTTATGAGACAATCAGTTTGGAACTTTCGTTCACACCATGTATCAGCCAACCATGTGTCTCTATACATCAGAAACGTTTTGCTCTTTATCTCCTGAATATCACAGAGTAACCTGTTGAATGAATGAGTCATCATTTAAATGAAACAAGGATTTAAACACTGTTACAATGCTGATGTTCAGCATATATACGTATATATATATATAGTGTCTACCATGGCCACCATCGTGTTGGCATGCTAATATTTGCGTATTGGAGAATTATTTTGACACATGATGAAAGTGATGACCATCTGTAACACACTTCATGGCGATGCATCCAATCGATGGACACATTCCACTCAAAATGTCCCCCTCACGGTGGGGCGAGAGGACAACTCACCAAAGTCAGCAGGACACATTTTTAGCCACATGACCAACCATCTGTTTACTAACCTCACGTAAGGTGTTCAGGGTCACGGGAGGCGGGAGCATCTTCCAGAATGCATTGACAAAGGTTAGACCCATAGACTGTGGGTAAGAAGAGGACATCTTCACCCATTGGGTTGTGGACTGCGGTTTTGAAGCTTTGAATTTAGTATTTTTGCCGTCGCCATCTAGTTTTTTTGCAACCAGTGAACCGAAGTGACCATATTAGGTCGGTGGAGGAGTGACGTAGAGACGCCGTATAAAGCTGTCATCACAGTAAGCCCCGCCCTAAAGCATGCTCTGCTTTATGGTCTATTTGACTCTAAATGGACCATCATTTACTAAATGAACATCATGATGTATTGAAGAAGACTTGAAACTGGAGATTGAGACCATAAACTCATGTTTACAATGTTTACTGAGGTAATAAATGAAGAGAGAAGTAGAGTCATTTTCTCATAGACTTCTATACAATCAGACTTCTTTTTGAACTGGAGAACAACCCGCTTTTTTCAAATGATACCAGAGCGGGTGAGGGCGCTGGGGTTACAGTGCGACGGCTCCATCCCCGCACACGGCCACGTCTCTCATCTCTAAGCCTCCGACACGCCCCTGATATACTGTGTGACGCTTGCCAAATCAATCAACGCGTGAAACGATCGGAACCGCTGCACCGAGACAAGTTCCTCATCTGACACAATACAAGACATCTCATCACGCACTCACTGAACCCATCACATAATTAAATGCAGATGAATTAAAACGTAATGAAGCGTCGGATAGATCCATTAAGTGCGCCTGAACTTAACGACTTAGAGGCAATCTGTGTAATCAGAACCCAATACGCACAGATAGCTCTCTGCCGCACACACACACAGGCATACCAGATAGACATGTAATGTAAGTCGACAGGTATTAACAGCGTTGAAATACAGTGTCTTCTACATGAAGAAATCACAGTTCCTAAGCTGCTCCTGGGTGTTAATATACACCTATTGAAACGCACTGGCGTGTGGGATAGATTCATTACCTCCATGTTAAAATGAATGACTAAGAGAGGACTCTGTGATATAGTGGAGAGAGCTGTCTGTCTTTCTTTAAATTGATTTTTAATCTCTGAAAGATTTGTCTGATGTTGTGAATTAACTTTTAAGAAAGTAAAATATTATTTTTAGAGCAGCTCCATCTTCTTCAAACGCAAAACTGTAGAAAAGCAAATTCAATCTCCAAGTAGTTTATTAAACCTTTTGAACGAGCAGTGAAGTTATCACTTCTTTTCTATATCTGGATCCCGTCTTTTATATGTATTTCATTCCTCAAGAGGGAAGACGCCTGTTTGATGTGAAATGGATGTTAAATGTAAACATGTATATGTAAATAGTTTTTATCAGTCAAATATTTGTGACAGTCACATGATCGCACACGCCAAGTTACAAACATTCAGAGGTGCACTACGAAGCCCCGCGACTACTTGTGTAGCGTACGGCTGTGATTACGTCATTCTCTGACACGCGTGCTAAGGATAAACGCTAAACTAAGCTAACACTACACTGGTTCACTCTTACAGATCTCATCGGGGTTGGGTCCAGACGCAGCATGCAGCTGCTTTCAGTGTAAAGGTTCTGAGAAACCCACGGTGCACTTCCTGCCAGCACTAAAGAGCAGACTAACAAAGTTAGCGACTGTTTTGTGAGGTTACAATGACGTTTGTCCACCAAAATCTGATCAGCTCATCCTCGAATACACATTTGTTGCCAATTTGAAGAAATTCACACAAGGCGTTTCTGAGATTCTTGCATTTGTGATAATAGACCCGGCGGTCGGACGACCCTAAAACATGATGACTCTGGCGCGGAGGCTCTACAAACTAGCACAAACCAACTTGGTAACGATTACGTCATCACACCAAAGCATCTACCGGACCAGAGGTATGTCTTTACCTGTCTCCTGTCGCTCCTCCTGTTTCTCTCATCCAATAAGATTCTGTTGTCATGGAGATCCGACTCCTCCCCGACCAAGATCTCTTGGAGCTCCGCCCATTGAAAGGCACAGTCCGCCAGCTGCCGCCTCTGCTGCTGGAAACGGCAAATAGAGACATTGAGTCGACATCATTTACAATATTTAGAAGTGTGAATGGTATTTGATCACATGGTGCCAATATATTCTATTGATAGGCATTCAGCTGACATTTTTAACAAGCACAAACTGCAGTAACACAGACCATCAACATAGTGACAACAGTTGTTGTGGGGTCACGTGATATCATAGAAAGGCTGAAGGCTCTGTGAGAATGGTTAGCAGAGTAAGTATGACGGCACGTGACACTGAGGTGCTTCTTGTTTTATCTTCTGCTTCCTGATCAGTTAATGGTGAGCGAACACAGAAGAAAGGTGTGAATGAGCAGCACTCACGTCCTCTAACTTCTGCCGCTGCTCGTGTTGCTGTTGGATCCTCTTCTGTCTGTCGGCCAGTAGCTGCTGCTTGTATCGCTCCTGCTCCGCCAGCTGCTGCCTGTGCTGCTACAGGAAGCATCATCCCATCGTAGTTACAAACAAGATAAGGAAAACAACACAGGTTTTAAAGGTGAAATATATTACGTTAACTTGGCTTTGAAACGGGGTCAAATGGCCTGCTGGTCCAACTGTGATATGAGCCAGTTACACTTGAAACTTTAAGAGGACTGAAGGTCTAATGAGTGTGAAATAGGATCAGAGCTCAGAATGGACACTGTGGTGGTCACTCTGCTGTCACGACTTTTCCCATTTGAGTTCAGGAACCTGAACTTGCTGCACTGAAAGCACAACCTGCAGCTACTACTACTGTATGACTGCATTACTATTACAACTAATGATAATAATCAGGGCTGCGATTACCAATTATCACTATCACCATTGATTGATCTGCCTATTATTGTCTCGATTGATTGCTAATAATTTAGTCTATCATTTGTAAAAGTGGAAAAATGCCATTCACAGTTTTTAGAGCCTGCAGGGATGTCTATGATCTGCTTGTGATGTCCAAAACCCAACGACTTACTGAAAATCCTCACACTGGAACCAGTGAATATATATGAATATATGAATAATGCAGTCTGATCACCCGATTCTGATCTTTTCGGAATTTCTGTCTCCCTAAGAAATTTAATTGACAGCATATACAAACATTTTTGTAACTTTTCTTTTATGGAATATTGAAAGTCAATTGTATGTTAATCAGAAAACATTGACTATTAAATCATTTCCTCCAAAACTGCACAAAGTTACAGGACCTTCTCTCACTCAACACGACATATTCTGTGTGTGTGTGTGTGTGTGTGTGTGTGTGTGTGTATAAATGAGACTGATTGGCCGGTCACTGGTCATTGCCGGTCAGCTGACAACCGAACAGTTTTAACCGGTGGCCGATCGCTCGGTGCATATTTGGCATCATTGTAATTTACTGTATATAACTACAATACAGATGAATGTGTAAAACGTTGCACATGAACTCGACGCCTACCTGTTGCCTTTGTTGACCCCCGCCTCCCCCGTGGCCTCCCTCTCTCCCCCCATCGCGGTCCTCCGTCTGCAAACGAAGAAACTCCCGTCTCAGCGTCCATTCCCCCGGAACGTTCACTATGGAGCTGCAAGAGAGGGAGCAAAAGTGTCCAAGTCACAATAACTGACTGTTATGATCTGAAGCACACTGGAGGATCGCTGTCAGTTCACCAATGAGATGCTCACAGTCACACAAATACATCCTGGGAGAAAGTGATTGGTTCAGAGTGCCATCTGCTGTTTGAGAGGCTTGTGCATCTGTCCATACGGACACACACACACACACACGGCCCTGTGGGGATTCATTAGCTTTGTATGTGAGCAGCACTTAAGCAGAGGGAGGGGTAGCGATAAGCAATGATAATGATACACAGGTCTGCGTGTTTATCGAGACTAATTGAGCATCCATGAGTGTGCTGTCTTTCATCATACATCCTGTGTTCGATCGCTTCTTGCCAAGTGTGAAAAGGCTTTTACCTGGGCTCCCCTTCCTCCTCTGTCACCTCATCATCCTCTTCTTCACTGCCACTGTACTCGTACTCCGGACCCTCTGAGAGATAAACAGAGAGAATATTAGTGATATTTGGTTAATATCATGCAATTAAAACAATAAGCTCAAATATCTCCTTGCAGGTATTATTGGATTATTTAGATAGCTGTTACTGCTGGAACACTAGGTTGAGCCAAAGAAAAATTGATCTGCAACTATGATGATAATCGCAAATTGAAATATCGGATCTAAAGATGTCAACATGTAGCATTTAAAGGAATGTGGGTGTGGCTCAGGGATTAGAAAGGGTGGCGGTTCGATCACCGGCTCCTCCTGTCGAGGCACTGAAGCCTGGGTGCTACACAGCAGCCCACTGCTCAGAAATGCTGAGGATGGGTTAAATGCGGAGGTCAAATTTCATGTATGTACGTAACAAATAAAATACATTCTAAGTTCAAATTTGAGTAAATGCTAAATCAAGGTGTTTACAGGCTATTCAACCTTCTAACCTTCGTTCCATTGTAACATCTTTTCTGTTCCAAACAAACATTCAGTGAAGGCCTCCGGCGTGTTTGCACCGGTGCGGGTCTTCTTCTCTGGTTCCCCATTACTAGCGTCTCTGGCTATTCTGAGCCGGCCACCGTTTCATTCAAAATTCCTTCATCGTCTACCGCCAGCAGCAATCTTGTCATTATCGAAGCCACACAAAAGTACAGTGTGGGCGAACTCGGGCAGCGAGAAAGTGAGGGACAGAGTTACACCACGGCTTCAAAACAGCACCGCTGACTCATCTCAATCCTGACCCAATGCATTCACCAAAAGAGTGTTCTCTCTCTCTCTTCAACATGTGCCTCCTATTATGGGACCCGTCTTTCCCTGCCCACACACATCACTGATCTTAAATGTACACAACACCTAATAGTTTGGATTGGAAAGTCTTTCTACACCACAATCAGTGCACAGTTCAACTGTTCCAGAGGGCGTGTTGTCTAAAGGCCAGATAGAGCTTAGCGTGACAACATTTGGCCAACACATGGTGTGAAAGCAGCTCGGGCTAACTTGCCATTAACACGCTGAAAGGTGTGTTTGTTCCGGACCGCTGACAGATTGTGCTGCTGCAGCGGACAGAGGAAATCTCTGCTCTGTGGCTGTGATGTCATGCGTCACGTCTTTTCAGAGCCAAAAGCTGCAGGAGGGAAGAGTGATTTGAGGGTTAACGCCTGCTTACGCTGACTGAGAAAGAAGTGACCTCCTTTTTTTTGGGGGGGGGGGGGGGATTCATTCTTCAAAACAGACAATCTTTGGCTAAACTGCCCTCCTCGGTATGCTGAAAATAACACGTCCCTTTTTGCATCTTGTCCCGTCATTGCTGTTGGATTTATTTTTTTTTTTTCGGCAGCGGTGACTTTTTCCCACACACACACTTAAGACTACCGGCATTTCATTCCTCTGGAGAGGCATAGGGGTGACACACACACACACACACACACACACACACACACACACACACACAC